CATATTTCTATCAAGTTGTTTTTCTAAGAAATATAACAACAATTACCATACTCTGCTGAGGACGGATAATAATCATTTGCCAACTACCATTACATGAACACGAGCATAATTAGTAACTGATAAAATATTGAATACTAAATATAAGAGAAAACATAAATTCATAATTACTTACAAATAGATATATGATTCAAAATGACAAACTTTATTCTCATCTCTTAACTTTGGTTGTAAGTATGCTTCAATGACGTGTGATTGATTCAATGTATATTGCATAGTAAATGGATCCAAGGATCCATAAACATCTTATTTATTTGTTTCTATACAGAAACGATACATGTACCTAAATGTTAAAACAAAGTTCAAAAAATGAAATGAGTCTTAACATTGAAAGTACTTAAGTGCACTAATTTAAATTCATATTAATTAGCATAGAAAATGCACTTACCTACACCACAATTGTAATACAGATATGTCCAGCCACTCATTTTCAAACATAAATTCTTTATATTCTTATAATCTTTTGTGAATAAAATGCCTTGAAACAAAATATAAACGGTTTCTTTATATTCAAGAAATACACAAGGGTTAGGGTTAACAAAGAAAACAAGCAAGAAGAACAAGAAGAAACAACAAGGATTGGTTATAAACTGTTATTCTTTCTTTTCTCTATCAAACAAGATTACAAATATACAAGAATAACAAAATAACCTATCTCTCTTAAATTAGGATTTCATCTTCCTATTTTTCCTTATTCAAGATGAGAGACTAACATGCTACTTATAAGCAAATTATCACACTAACCTAATGGGTTTTTTTTTTAACAATTATCCATTACAAGCTAATTTAGGATACAAGCTAACTTAAACAATTGGGCTTACAAGTAAGACCCAATCCAACATGCTAACAAACCTAGCAATATTGACTAATGCATGTTAGAACAAACTTCGACTACAACATGTATTACTTGCGAACCGACTTCGACCATACTAGAGTTCGATCCAATATCTCACATAATCAATATAGAAAAGTTTTATATCCGAGTCATGCTCTAATTGAACCGAGATGTCTTCTTTAATATCCATTTTCAACATACTATTTTTTTTAACGGATCTTCATGAGGAACTTGCATCTTATTTTGCGTATGGGCGGATGAAAAACTTTCTTTTGTGCTTGAACCCGCAAAAACAACTTTTTCAGGCAACTTATCAACTGCATTTGTACTTGACTAGACGATTACACCCATCGAAGCTAATTTTTGCATCATAAAAATAACAACAACACACAACACATATATAATGTTATAAGACCACAAAACAATTGCAACACACAAAACAAAATTTGTACATACTACATAGAGCTTATCCAACTCTTTCTTTTGCAATTCTCGCTTCTATGCTAATCTTTATTCTAACTTCTATTTGCAAACCCCATCCATCTCTTTCTTTTAAAATTCCTGCTTTTGTGCTAAATTTTTTCTAACTTCTTATTGTAAAGTATGTCCATCTCTTTCTTTTGTAACTCCTGCTTTTATGCTACTATTTCTTCTAAATTCTTATCAACGAGCTCGTTCATCTCTTTCTTGCCCAAATCTTTACTCTTTCTTGATGCTCTAAAGTATAATCTCAGACTGATGCCTTGTCCAACACCACAGACACACCTACCATACTTCTTTATTCTAATTGCTTCTACTAATATATCATGTTGTACATGTTGAACAAAGGATCCTTTAATGACCATATAAACCAAAAAATTCTACACAATATGAATAAGATTTCATTATCAAATCTATTTAAAATATATTTAATATTCTAATTGACAAAAGAATCTATTTACAATTTTCGACTGCACATGAGGCATTTGAAGTGAACTCACCACCTGATCTTTGTCGAGCCCTCCTCACTTCTCGTGGCATGATGGTGGAGATGGTTTGTGATCACGACTTAGTGAGTCATCTACCAGTTGTTATGTTTTTTCATTACTAATTTTTCCCTCAAGTTTTTCATAACCTCCACGAGACAATCTATAGGGATGTTTATTTCTATCTTTGTTTTTCTTTTTTCTAATTGACTTTTAACCTGTTATAAACATAGTGGAAATATTAATTGCATGGTTATATCTAAAAAATATCATCAAAACACAATAAGATTACTTTTTAGAAAATAAGTTTATTACTAACCAAGATTTCAGTAGAACTACGAGAATCAACAAGTTTCTTCCAAATATCCCAATCAATATAATTATATTTCACAGTTGGATGCTCAAGATGAAGCTTTGCTTTTATAATGTAATCAATTGTGAGTTGTGACTAAAAATATCTCTAATGCTCACCACCATAAGAGATCCACTTATTCACCAACTTATCATCACTTACTTCAAACTAAAAAAACTGACTAGAGTTACATCAATAAGTAGGTATTAGTAATTAACAAAAAAAAAACAATTATCAAATCATGTAAATTAAAATTAATATATGAAGTTGTATCTATATACTTTTTTTTAAAATCTTATGATACCTAGATATAATCATCTATCAAAATACTCACTTTGATACGTCTAAGGAATGCCGCATAACTTCTAAAAGGGAAGCATTATTACCATAGCAAGTCCAATTTTTATGATCAAACTCAACTGACAACTTAACACATGTGTTGCCTACTTTTATTAATTTAACCATCATTGTAACACCTCTAGTTTTTCTTTTTATTTTATTGTCATTAGAAGAATACTCATATGTATGAGTGACGCTAGATGAATAATCCATCTATGTTCAAAACAATATCAAAAGAAAAAACAACAACACATTAAACATTTATATTTTATGCTCTTAACAACAACAACAACAACATTATACCTAATATATGTCAACAAACCTAACAACGTTAGTATTAATATCATATCATATATCATACTTGAACTTAATTCTACTTACATATCCTCAAAGATTCAATGTAACAATAACACTACAAACCTTTAATAACTCAGTAACAACAAAAACAACAATAAACCTTCAATAACTCAATAACAATAAGAACACTAAACCTTCAATATCTCAATAACAACAAAAATCAATATCTTAATAACACAAAACCTTCAACGTCTCAATAACAACAACAACAACAACAACAATAAACATATCAATTATCTAAACAAAACAACTAAGATAAAACCTTCAATAACATTCTCAACAACAACAACAACAAATAAACCTTTAAAATTTAGACACTAAACATCAACAACAACAACATTAAATCTAACATATATCAACAACATTATTCTTACATGCATGGTGAAGATATTTTATGTACCCAAAACATGTTGAAGAAGTCGAAGAGCTAAATATCGTATGAGTTTTGTATTTCCTCTTTGAAAGTATCGTTTGAGTTCCTCCTTAGAGATTTTTCTTTGTATTTCCTTGCTTTGTACGAGTTGGAGAGATATGGATAGAGTTCGACCAAGTTTATTGAATAACTTGTTGGAGAAGATATCATGGTGAACAAATGGAGATGATGCAATGATGAATGAGTAAGAGATAATATGTGTTTAGAACTCTCATCGTTGGTGGAGATGATAAACTTGTTAGGGCTAAGTGATTTTCGTAAGTACTGAATGTGGATTTTACGAGGCAAAGAAAAATTAAATATACATGATAAGGTAAATTCTATTTCTTGAATAAGGGTAAACCATTTCATCACGGTTGAAACATACAACCATATGAAATCCTATTTATTTATTTTATTTTGATCAAAGTGCCCGTTTTTAAACAATTTAAAAAATAAAAAATAAAAATAAAAATATTTCACCACAGTTATTTTTTTCAACTGTGAGAAAAAATAACTTGCTTTTAGTTTAAAAATAAATTAAAGAAAAACATTACAATAATATTAAATAAATCACAAATTTGTAAGAGCTGAAATTCCAACATATGATTATTACAAGATTTTTTTTTATAATTGTTCTTTTCAATCATAGTAAAATATAACGTTTTAATTTTAAAATAAAATAAAAATAAAGACAACTAATTTTTTAAGGTGGTTCTTTTACCAACTTTGGTAAACCACGTTATGTATTATTTATAATATTGTTATATTGAAAAACCACGTTATATATTATTTAAATATTGTTATATTAAAGTTGAATATTATTTTCTTCATATTTTAAAATGATTGTCGTTTTAGAAAAAAAATTTTGTTTTAAAATGAATGTCAGTTTTAATTTTCAATGTAGTAATAATTATTATTTTTTTAATTGTTTTATATAATTATTACTCACTACATTATTTTTAACATATTAATAAAATTAATTTGATAAAAATGCAATATCTTACGACAATATTATTGCATTCTTTAATTTGTGTAGAAAAATTTTAAACGGAGAGTCGATTTAAAATGAAGGAAGTAGTTTGTTTCATAGGAGAATGAACTTCTCTGTCCAAATATATAAGTCCAAGTTTAATTAACTATTTGTGCAGTGAATTGCACTGTGAATTCATCACTCAATTTCGTCTCCGAAGTGATAGAACTGTTCTCTTTGGTCTTGAACCACGTTACAGTGGCTCCATTAAGGGTTAGCAGAAACAGTTTGCTTTTCACTGCGCTCCTGGCATGATGATAATCAAGCATGATGTCTACGTATTCAACATGCTTGCCTAGTACATATATAGTATTGGACTGTTCTTGAACATCCCGATCGTAATCACTTTTTTTTGGCTACAATGATTACTTACTTTCATTCCACACCCAAAACCAATTTTTATTTGCTTGGAAAATCGGGTACACGTAAATTACTTACTCTTTAATCAAACATATAACATACTACTTCATAATTTTGTTAGCTATAATGCATACACACCAAACCATTCATATTACAATATTTTTTCTTACTAAAGTACAATCATATAGTTTAATAGTTATAGTTTTTTTTGGTAGTTATAGTTATTTTAATATCATAACTATATAAATATTTCAAGATGAAACACACATAACAAACTAGCTAGTTCAAGTTTATCCATGGTTGGTTTTACTTTTACCCTTAGACTCCGAAGGTGACTTGTTGTTATTAGCCCTACCAACACCATTCACTCCACCACCACCTGAACCACTTCCATAACCACCGCCATGACCACCACCATTCCCTCCACCAGAGTTGCCTGAACCACTTCCATAACCACCACCGTGAGCACCACCGCTACCGGATCCGTAACCATATCCGGAACCAGATCCAGTCCCGGTTCCAAAACCAAATCCATAACCTCTACCAAAACCAGAAGGAGAATGTCCTGAGCCTGAGCCATAACCCCACCCGCTACCTGGTGCTGACCCCCATCCCCAGTTGTAGTCCCAGTTTGGACCATGACCTGAACCACTTGCGCCCGTAGGTGCGCCGCCGCTTGCCATGTCTACCTTTCTTCCACCGGTGGTGGCTGCCACCGTGAGAGTTATGAGAAAGATAAGAAAAATAGTGGTGAAGATGTGTTTGAGATGATGAGTAGTGTTGAATGGTAGCATTTTGTGTTAGTTGTGTAGTTTTGTGGAGAGAATTATCTCTAGTGCATGAGGATGAGTGAATGATCATTATGGTATAAACGAGTCACATATATATAACTCATAAAGTGAAACTTACTAGTGCATGCTTTTTTTATAGATTAATTTTTTAATATGTTTTATATTATATCTCTTATTTTTAACATTGTAGAAGTTAAGTGTAAAAGATATGAAGTGGGAGTAGATATTATTTTCTAGTTGACAACCCGTGAGGAGCCATGATGATATATTTTTCAATAATAGAGATCAAAGAAATGCTATCATGATACAATATTAGTGTGCTTGTATGAATGGGCCCATGATAACAACAATAGTTGTCATAAATGCGTAAATGCTATAAAAGTTTGGCTTCCTTTAATTTAAGTTGGAGGCCATGATTATTTTTAGTCAAATGTTGATAGATTCTTAACAAACCCTTCACATGTCGATAGATTCTTAACAAACCCTTCACTTTTAGGATTAGGTATTTAGAGTATAGAAATAAATGATACATGATATTAAATGAAATTTTTGATAAATTATATTTTATATTAAAATGTTGAGTTTAATTTATTCTTATAAAATCAGTTTAGAAATTGACTAATGAGCTTCATTTATAAATAAATACATAATCATGTCATATATTATTTGATGTAAAATTCTTAAAAATTAATAAAAATATACTAAAATAAAAAATACTGAATAGAAGAAATTTACATTCTTTTTCCTACCTAAAAGTTAAAATGACATTGTTTATTAAAATTTAAAAAATAGTGAAAAGTAGAGATCTCATTAATAGGCTCTTTATCTCTCTTCATGAATGAAATTAATAATAAAAATGTTTAATAAATATGAAATATCGGTTTAATATACAATATTTAATATTTTTTAAATGTTACAAAATTATTTTTGACGTTTTAAAGATCAGTCATCTGATTTAACATAATTCAATTTTTATACAATTTTATTATTAATGTTGAACTATATAGCTGATTAAACTAAAACATATGATTTTATCTGAGTGAATCATATGATACAATCAATGACTCTTTGATTCGACCACGGACTTTTGGTCCCATGACCTTGTCAGCTCGATGATTAAGCTTGACTTTTAAAGATTGATCATACAGTATTATTGACTAATGCATATTAGAACGAACTTCGACTACAACACGCATTACTCTGGCAGCAACATATGATCATACTTCGACCTCATGTTTAATTCCTGTCAAACCAGAAGCTACCCTTCGATCTCATATTTAATTCCTGTCGAATCAGAAGCTACCCTTCGACTATACTAAAGTTCGATCTAACATCTCATATAAATAAATTGGATTACGTGCAATTTGCACCTTCACACAATCATGTATTCTAAGAATTAGTGAACGTTCAATCAAGATTTATTGATAAAAAAAATATAAAATCATTTAAATTTACAACTTAAATAAGGATCATTCGATCTTTTGATCAAACAATCAGTTATTTTAAAATGCGTGAATGTGTAACCTGCAAGGAATCTGTATCCGAAAATTCAAGTAATTTAGATAATTTATGACTCTTTTAGAAGAAAAAAAGAATGGATGATAGTTGATAAATAGATAATTAAGTTAGTTTCCTAAATTATTGAGTTTTAGGACAAGTTGAAGTTGTCTTAAATACGTAAATGCAGCAAAAATCTAATTTAAGTTAATCTGATATGGTATGAACGAGGGGACGCAGAAATGGTCCAACCACAACACTTGAAAATGGGAGCGTGACCATTCCACTACCGACTTCATTCTAGTTCTGTTCATAAGCCCAAACAAGTGCCATACCAGTATTTGTCGTGTTTGGGAGAAAAAAACATCGACATCTTTTCAGGTTTTTTAGTTATAGATTTTGGATCGCCACTACTGTGCTTCTCATTGGTTTGATTCAAAATGCTGTTTACTTTTGTTAGTAATTAATTTTAATGATATAAAGAAACTATTAAATTTGCTTTATGCAGATTAGGCGGCAATTAATAATCTTACAATGAATGATCGACGAAAGGAATTGGATATACATTTCTTAAACAAGGAGAATCTTGTCATATCAAGGTATATATTTATGAGAAGAGTTAAAAAGACTCTTTTCAACATTTTTTTTTCTAATATTTTAATAATAAAATCGATGTAGATTATATCATTATTACTACAACATGAGTGAAAATATTAAAAAGTTTTTAGATTTTAAAGATACATCTTCGGACGCATCCAAAACACACTTATCATAAGTCAATTATGAGTCACGTCCTAAGAGTGTAATTTTTTAAATCTGGAAATGCATCTTCAGAATATGTCCATAGATGCATCTTTGTAGCATACTAAAACAGAAACAGAAGCAAAAAATTAGAAAGTTGTATTTTGACAATATAAAATTACCATTCATAACATAAAATCAGCATTACATAGGTGATATTAACATAAAATCAGAAATTATATTTCAATATCCAGGTTGAAGCTTCAACATCTTCACAATATCTTTGATCGATATTGAAATTGTTATTTCCACCTCGATCGAAACTTCTATTTCGAAACGGAAAAATGTATTCCACAGAACCCTTACAACTGCATCATCTTGAGCTCATAAGTGTTGAACTCAATCTTACCTTCGTTGCTAATTTATGGTGACCTGTACTCAAGCTTCACAATTTTTCGATTATCTTCGTAAGGTAGGAGATTCTGCATTTTGTATTGTAGATCTGCAAATGAGGTGTACTCGAACTTCACAATTTTTTTAATTTTCCATGACACCGTTATCATCAAACCTAAGCCTTTTCTAGTGACTGCAAACTTCATCCATTCTTAATGGGCTATAAAGTTTCACCCTCTTTTCTATATGACAAGCATATGGAAAAGCATAGGTTTTCACAATTGTGCAACCACATTTTGCGTTATTGGAGTCTACATTATCAACTCGTTTAGGTTCGTGAAAAATATAATTCAAACCTACTCGAGATATGTTGCCGACCAACTGAGAATAAAGATTGTTGTCTTTAAACCTATGTTCGAAAATTGTGATACTCCAACCAAATGATGTTTATATTTTATTATGTTGATTCTGGATCATTTGGTTCATTGGGTCTCAATCTCTACACAAATGTCCCTTACTATTTCCCAACCAAATCTTCAATGTTGCATGGGCAGACTCAGCTCAGTTTGTAGTTGTATTCCCAAGGTGTCTAACCTGATTGCTCTATGCACAAACAATTTTCTACTTCACCTAGTGTAGAATTGTGCTTTCAACATATTTCAACAAATCTTGATATTTCTTGCACATCTTCCTGAAATATATAACTGAATTGGAATATAACTCTTTATTAGAGGAATTTACTATAACATTCCATGCATCCATTATTTTTTCCACTATCACACCCGCTTTCACCATTTTTCCATATTCATCCTTTATCTATTTCATCCTTGCCGTAGGTTTAACCCAACTTCTCACATTCTTTGTTATATGATACCTACAGAGTAATGCATAAGAAGTAGGAAATATCTTTGCAACCGAATTCATTAAAGTGGTATCACGGTCGATAACAATTACTTTCGAAATATCTTATTGGTCTGTCAACATTGTCCGACACACATCTAAAGCCTAATTAACATTCTCCTCTTTTTCGCTCTCTAGAAATGAAAATCAAACAGAAGAGGCCTTTTTAGTAGAGGTAACACCAATCATCTCCAATAGTGGAAGTATGTACTTGTTGGTCTTATACGTTAAATCAATGATGAGCATAGTAGGAAACATGTTAAACAACTTGATGGAATGAAGATGAGTCTAAAATATATCTAACGGTTACTCCATCCTCACACGTTTGGTACCTGGAACATAATTGTTATCATCCAAAAGTTTCAATAGTTGTTGCATTGCACTTCTATCCCCCCTTAGTGCCTTGTTATTTTGGTACCAAATATTGTACACTTGCTTGATATTTAAGATATTTTTGGGTCTTTTACGTTTCAAATTGCAAGTATATTTTTGATTGAACCAAACTCAATGTCATGTCTGAAACACATTCCTTCTCTTCCAGCATGAGGCGGAATGCAATTGGAAGACCAGTTAACTTTTCACACAAGTCATGGCTATGTAAACCACATATGACATTAAATATCCATTTCTTATTTTCCAACATATAACCATGCAACTTAAAGGAATACTCACATTTTCTTGAACTGGTGTCTTCTCGTTTAAAATTTTGGATATGAGGTATATATTTCCCATTTCTTTTGCATGTCATTGCCACAAATGCACCTCTTCTATATGAACCATTACTGGACCTTCTGATTACCACACAAAATTGCAGTTTAGAGGTCTCCGTACGAATCCATTGAATCATGTGATCACAAAATTCAAACTCTTACTCGTTTTTAAATTGGTTACCAAAACCTACCTCCTTCACAGCAACACCTTTGGCTTCCGAAGATACAACATGTTTGGGGAAAACATCGGGGTGCACTATATCTAATGAAAATAGTTACAATAAAAAACTTAAAAATTGCTAATGTTGTAAACAGTCAGCCTACGAAGATGCATCTCTGGAAGATTAATGTGAGCAATGAGACTTGAAATAAATGATCTTACCTGAATTCCAAATTCTTTTTGCTCCCTTTGATGTGATGAAACACAAGAATGAAGATTTGAAGTGAAAATGTTGATTGAGAATGGAAGGGTTTTTGGAAAGGGTTTGGAGTTGAAAATAAGTATGGGTCTGTTATCATGCAGGTGAGTGTTTTATAAACTTATTTCTAAAATGCATCTTCAGAAGTATCTGACATGCAAAGGTGATAGAAATTTAAAAATCCCGCCTCAAACCTCCCTAAATGCATCTCTAGAATATCCACTGTGCTACTCAAATATCAATATATTTGTTGAAAATACCCATATATGGATCTCCAGAATAAATTTTTGTTTTGCTTTGGGGTGGCACTCATTTGGTGCGTCATAAGGTGGTGCACGATGCA